CACTGCCAGCCTGGCCAACACGGTGAAACCCCATCTCTATTAAAAATATAAAAATTAGCCGGGTGTAGTGGTGGGTGCCTGTAGTTCTAGCTACTTAGGAGGCTGAAGCATGAGAATCACGTGAACCCAGGAGGCAGAAGTGGCAGTGAGCCGAGATGGTGCCACTGCACTCCAATCTGGGCTACAGAGTGAGACTCTGTCTCGAAACTAATTAATTAATTAAAAACTGAAATAAAAGCATGCTATCAAAGAACATATGTCATGGTCCCCATAACTGGGGCTGTCTCACCTGTCTATACAGCCGCCACGCTGTTCTGTGCCAGTGGAGGCTCAGCCAGCCACTGGACACACGGGGACACGTAACTCTCAGCCCCAACACCTCCCTCAGGCACAACCAACAGAGTGTCCCCCCGCGCCGGTCATTATTCACTTGCCCTCGGTTCATCCCACCCAGCAGCTGCTTTCTCTCACCTACTTTTAAACTCCTTCTTCCTTCTAACTCTTACCCAGGGATTCAGGAAGATCTGTTTCTCTGAGGCACCTACTGTTCGACTGTGTCTCTGCCTCCCTTTGTTTCTCTCTCCATTTCCTTCCTTCCCCATCTTTCCTTCTTGATTCAGCCCAAAATTGACTTAAACATTGCGACATGAGTTACCCAACTGCTACTTCCATATAAAATATAAGAAAGCCTGGTCATCCAACGTCACATTTACATCTAAAAGAAAACCAGGGGTGGAAATCTCTCAAACTCCTACAAATTCCCAGAAATTGTATCAGCCTCCTGAGTAACTGGGACTAGAGGTGTGTGCCATGCCATATATATATATATATATATATATTTTTTTTTTTTTTTTTTTTTTTTTTTTTTTTTGTGGAGACGAGGCTATGATGTGTTTCTCAGTCTGGTCTCAACCCCCTGGCCTCAATGAATCCTCCTGCCTCAGCCTCCCAAAGTGCTTGGATTACAGGCATGGGCTACTACACTCAGCCCTGTCTTTCTTTAAATAGCACATTAAAGGTGTAATTTCTTGTTTCCCTGAGCTTAAATGCCACCAATATGACAGGAGTAGTATTTAATATCTATAATTTGTTGTAGGCATACACAATTTTGGTTACATTAGGGACTATGTGGGATTTCATGAGCCTACACTGGAAATCTAATAACCAGATTGAACATTGTTAAGGGGAACATATTTCTGTCTTACAAATCTCAGGTGTATAGCCCATTCTGTGACTGGATAGTTCTTATAATACCAACTTAGTAGTGAATACCAAGCAGAAATAGGTGGTGGGAAAATCTGGCTACAGTGAGGTCGTTTGGTGTTAAATATTTAGAGGGCCCAAAAGCATGATCCAGCTAGCAGGAAGAAAGTCTTAGGATCAGCAATCTAATAAATCTCCGACATATATCCACGTATCTGGTCAGGAAACACAATACTATGGTGGTAATTACAGTCGCATCCAGTGTAGGCCAGGCACTGTGCTAGGCTCCAGGGATAACATGATGGGAAGGGCAAACATGGACCTTACAGTCCAAACAAGTCATCTCGCCAGGAAGCCTGGCTATAGCCTGGGTGTGTAGGCCATGGTGAGTGCTGGAAAGGAAAGGTGGAGACCACCCGCGGGCCTGCTGGGGTCTCACCTACCTGGCGGCTGGACAGTCTGTGGGGCCCAGATAGAGCCACAGGCAGGCTAAGGCCTTGACATGGGTTCTTCAGAAGCACTGGTTCCAACTCATCCATATTAGTAAAATTGCTCTGATAATTATAAGTAATCATATTTTTAAACCAGTTTGATTTGTCCCAAAATGAATAATCAAAGTATTTGTCTACTAGGCTTTTTTTCTGGAGGGGGCCCCAAAATATAAGACTTTGGTTATTCTAAGTGTTATCACCATGCTTATATTTTGCTGTATGACAACATTATATATGGGCATTTGAGTGAAGCCCATGTTATTGTTCACAGTTCTAAATGCTATTGTTATCGATAATGATAACAATATGAGAGATTGTGTATAAAAGTACCTAACTTTGTGCCTGGCATAGAGGAGTCCAGAGATAAACATGAACTGGATCTAAAAATCCTTTACAAAGTAAATGTGAGCAGTGTTGCAGAAAGAACTCACAACTGCACAAAGATGATGAAAAGAATAATCTCCCACAGAACGGAGATATTTAAAGGCAAGATATTGGGTCAGACGCAGAGGCTCACGTCTGTAATCCCAGCACTTTGGGAAGCCAAGGTGGGGAGATCACTTGAGGTCGGAGTTCAAGACCAGCTTGGTCAACATGTCGAAACTTCGTCTCTACTAAAAATACAAAAATTAACCTGGCATAGTGGCACGGGCCTGTAATTCCAGCTACTCAGGAGGCTGAGGTGGGAGAATGACTTGAACCCAAAAGGTGGAGGTTGCAGTGAGCTGAGATCGCACCACTGTACTCCAGGCTGGGCAACGGACAAGAGATGTCTCAAAAAATAAAAATGAAAATAAAAAAAGGGCAAGAGGTGGACCTGGTCAAGAATAGTAGGCCATCTTACATATTAATAGCTAGTTTTTATCATGTTTTGTTATATTTGTGGAGGAATGTGATTTGATGTGTAACATGTTCTTATTTATTTAATATAACAGATTATATTATCACAACACTCTACTATATTTTATGGGAAATGAGAGAACTGTAACTAGTCATAGAAAACCTGTTTAAATGAAAAGTTTGAGATGAAATCACACAGGCAGTCATCTTCTATATGACCATGCTGGTTTGCACTGCCGGTCAGTAAATATTCATCCTTCTCTCCCTGCTGTGTGGGCAGAGTGGACGTCCTCACTTCCGTGCTCATGCACATGGCCATGACACTTACTTTGGTCAATGGGATGTTAGTGGATGTGATGTGGGCGGAGGCTTGACATGTGCCTGGGCCCTTGTGCTTGCCTTTCTGTGCACCTGCATTTCACCATAAATAGAAAATGCCTCAGGTAGCTGTCAGTCCAAGCAGGATGAAACACATATGGTGCAAACAAACCCAGCCACAACCTGGAGCCATATCAGCTGACATCAGTCCGCCCCTAGGTATGTAGACCACCTACAACATGCTGCTTGTTGTTTGACATGGAGTTTTGACGTGGTTTGTTACGCACCATTGCTATGATGATAACTGACTCTTAAGATAACTAAAGTCTTATATTTTTGTTAGGGAATTTTGTTTCAAATTAAACATAAAGATAGCCAAAACTGTTTAGAAGTCACATTATCTAGAAATAAACCTCTAATTTTGAAATTAGAGGTTTTACAAAATGTATTACCTTTGGAATTGAAAAGTATCATCCTCTCCAGCTGCCTGCAGTCCATGGACCACGCTCGCTGGATCAGAGAGCTCTCCAAACCCCAGCAGCACCACAGGCCCAGTTTTCCATGAGCCTGTGAAGAAAAAGTCCAGCTCACAGCAGAGCTGCTAACAGCTCTCATGAAAGAGAGCGGAAAATACAAAATCCTTAGCTGTGTGGGATCTAAACACACTTAAATTCGTTCAACTGAAAATGAATATTGTTTTGGCTTGCCTATTTCAAAAGGACAGAAGACCTCAAACCTTTGACAGTTTTCGGTTCAAGTTTTGCCTTTCTTGGCAGGCTGATTCTTTGTTGTGCCAGACAGCCAAGATTCATGTTTTGTAGCAGGTGGTAGCCTCAATAATTTAAGCAAAATGTTGCCTCTTTCAGCCAAGGAAAATGCAGCTCACCGAGGAATGTTGCATTTGAGCATCTGAACAGAGTGGGAGTCATAGCCACAAAACCGTCCTAGCGTCCTAGCGAAGGCAGGAATGGAGAGACTCCACTCCCTCACTTCAGTACCTTCTTGGCTTTCCATAGATGAAGAGCAGGGAGTGTAGGAGAACTTTCTAGATGCTGTTAGCTTCCGAGAAGCCATCTGAAAGTTACTGTAGTTTATTTTTCCTAAGCAAACAAGACAAACCATCACACCTCCTTTCAGTTTTAGATTGAAAACAATTTGGGCATGATTTCCTCAACCAAATTGAATTAATACACTTGCTATTTATTTTGGCTTGTAAAATTCCTTTTCATACTATTTCATGAACAGGAGAAAAACAGAGAGACATTCAACAAAGTGTACATTTTGTGGTAAAATTGGTATCTTACCTGGAAAATGAGTCTACAGCAGTTTATTTCTTTGTGAAAATTTGAAAATGCCAATTCAATGTCAAAAATAGCATATACTACATTTCATTAATTTAATAGTGTCATTGATCTTAAAACTGCTAAACTAGTAGAATAGCATATGTAATTACTTCTGTGGTCTTTTTGAGAAATGTAAATAGTATAGACTATCATCAAAATGCTCTTACACAAGGGAAATCTGTCAAGATTATTTTGTGATTTTATTTTTGCTAACCAAAATACTGTCCTTCAGTCTCTCTAGCTAGGTCTTGACACATGAAATTCTAAAACTCAGGGTTGAATATTTGTAAAATTATCTGTTGAAAAGCAGAATGTTCTAGCCTTTAATTCTCAAAAAAGGGAAAACTTCCTTGAAATCAATCCAGTTCAACATTTAGATATTAAAATATCAGTAACATCATGAGCATGAATATTTTTTGCCATTGCCTTTTTGTCTGTAAGGAAGAACTAATATACATTGCCAACATTAGTAATTTTTTTTCCCTAATAAGTATAGCAAATTGGGAACAAAAACAAGACAAAAGGTTTTTTTCTAGACAGTTTCTTTCAGCATAATTTCAACTTCAAATTAGAGGAACATAAACGAATGTCCTACTTCTGCATTAAAAGTATTTGACTACTTTGTGGGATGTTTTGTGCCGATTCTTTACTAAATTATCTTGGTCGCCGTTGCTAGGTAACACCCCTTGCTTCCTGCAGCTGAAAAATGAGAGGGTTATATGGAGCAGTTCGGCATTATTAGCATTTGACTAAGGTTTTTTGGTTTTCTGAACTGTATATCTTAGCGTTTTCCCTTCTTTCCTAGGGAATGTCATTGTCTATGGGAATACAATTGATACTTACACCACTGTGGAGACGCTCTTAAACCTTGGCGTGAGCGGCAGCCGCATCCACCTCGTGCAGCCCCCGCCCGCCTCCACCATCACCTGCATCAACAACTACTCGGTGGAGAGCGCCGTGGCGGACGCGCTGGCAGCCGCCGGAGTCACTATTTACCGGGATGCGATCCTGGCCCAGTGGAATGACGGCCTGCACCCAGACCCCATCTACAGCGCCTCCTTCACCACACCCACCAAGCCTTTTAGACTCCCGTGCTGTGTAAGTGGGTCCCTGCAAACCTCACTCACCAGCTAGGGACAGCCGACATCTCCAAGGGATTTGGGGGTTTGGAAGATTGCGGGCAGTGAATTTGGAATACCAGATGTTGGATTTTGTTTTCTGTGTGTTCGGATTACCTCTTGCTGGGTAACAACCCACCCCAGACTCAGTGGCATGAAGAAACAACAACGTTTATTATTCTTGTCTCTCCTGGATTTTTATTATTATTTTATTATTCTTATCTCTTCTGGCTTTGGCCAGACTCAGCTAGGAAGTTCCCACTTGAGGTCACTCATGCGGCTGAAGTCAGCAGTGGGTGGGCTGGAATTGTCTCAAAAACATAGCCACTCACGTGTCTGGCTGTTGATCCTGAATCAACTTTAGTTGCGATTTTCGCCACAACACTTAGAAGTGGCACCTTCATGGGCCTGGCTTCCTCACAACATGGTGGTTTGGGTCTGAGGGTAGAGCAGAGAGAGAGGCGGTGTCAGCTGTGTCACCTTGGATGGCCTGGCCTCGGAAATCAAGCAGCATTCTTCCCACCACGTTCTATTTGCTAGAGGCAAGTCGCTAGGACCAGCCCATATTCAAGGAGTGGGAAATTAGACCCTGCCTGTTCGTGGACAGGAGGTCAAAGATTTGAATGGAGAATGCCTCTCTTTACTGAGAGCTTGCCGTGCCCCAGGACATTCTGTCACCTCATCGGGACAGCTCTGTAAAGGGAAGTATCCCCAATTTACAGATGAGAACACCATGGCTCTAAGTCAGTGGCAGTGCTGGTTCCCTGCCCAGCCCAAGGTCTATGCTGCCATTAGCCTCTTAAGATTCTGGCAACAGCAGTGGTGAGTCTTTCCCCATGACACACAACCTCTGGCAGTGTGTATAGAGAGAGCACTTCCCTTTCCAGGTGGGTGACACCCTACCTTCCAGCCTGCGTCCTCAGAGTTTCCAGCTTAGGAGGTTCATAGAAGCCTGCAGGGAGGGAAGGAGGGAAGGGGCCGGTCCATCTCACTGAGAAGCAGGGGACCCTTGCTCAAAGGGGAGGCTGAAGTCAGTATGAGGATAATGGTTGTGTAAGCCAAGGGTGTGTGTTAGCGGTTGTGATAAAGAATGCCTGCTAACATCCAATGGGCAAGCCATTTAGGGGCAGGTGTTCACAGCAGGCCCTTACCTAGGAGTAGGGGGTGATCTTCCTAAGTAGGGCTTCTCACTAACAGGCTGCAAAGGATTGAGGATGGTGGCTCTCACCCCCACCCCAACCCAGAACTCAAAGGACAGGAGCTCAAAGCAAACCACTAAAAAGACTAAAAAGGAAGATTTTTTTTTAGAATCTCATTTTATCCTGAGATCCATGGAAATTTTGTATTCTACTCTGTAGTCCATTCATTTATTCATTCATTCCATAAATATTTATTGAACACCTGCTAGGTCCCAGGCTCTGTCCTAGGTGTTAGGGATGTAACAGTGAAAAAGACAGGACAAGTCTCCTTTATTTTAAAAAGTGATACTGTCTATACATGTATGTCATGACACCTATTTAAAACAGGAAATATCAAAATACTTTTGCCCAAATTTTCCCTCAAAAAAAATGGCAAACCTGGAAGATTGCCATGTTTATCCTGAAGCACCTCTGGAGGTGAGTGTGTGCCTTGCTCAGGAAGCAGAGGCCTGAGAAAACCTCCCCAAACATCCCATTGGGTAGCAGCTCTTCTGACCTTCACTTTCCTATTCAGATTAGAATCAAACTCCTGACAAAAACATCTGGCAAATTAAATTGACCCTTGAACACATGAGGAGTAAGGACACCAACCCTCTTCACAAAGTTGAAAAATCACATATAACTTTTGACTCTCCAAAAACATAGCTACTAAAAGCCTACTGATGACCAGAAGCCTGACTGATCACATAAATAGTTGATTATATGAAAACATATTTTGTATTTTATGTGTATTGTATCCTCTATCCTTACAATAAAGTAAGCTAGATAAAAGAAAATGTTGTTAAGACAATCATAAGGAAGAGAAAATATGTTTATTCTTCATTAGGTGGAAGTGGATCATCATAAAGTTCTTCATCCTCATTGTCTTCACACTGAGTAGGCTGAGGAGGAGAAGGAAGAGGAGGGGTGGGTCTTGCTGTCTCAGGGATGGCAAAGGCAGAAAAAAAATCTATGTGTAAGCATTTTCATCCTAACACTGTCTGGGTCAAACATTGGCCTGTTTGCTGTTGTATTCTTTCTCCTACCTTCCCTGGTCTGCTTGGTCTCACAAAGAATGGCCCCTGCAGATGACATTTCCCAGGCTCCATTATTCTCTGATTTTCATCTTTATTTGGCCAACAGTTTGTACCTGTGGGAGATTAGACATGGGAAGCGGGGAGTTCAGGGTAGGTATCTCTCATACTGTCTGCTTTGGGCAGCATCTGTCAGGGCATTAAGCATCTTTTGGTAGGGATGAATGTGTCCATCTTCTTCACAGTGGTCTTGGTGTCATGGCTTGAATTACGTCCCCCAGAAAGATATGTTGATGTCCTGACCCCCAGTACCAGTGAACATGACCTTATTTGTTAATAGAACCTTGGTCGATGTAAGCAAGTAAAGAGAAAGTCATCCTGGATCAAGGTGGGCCCTGAATCCAATGACTGGTGTCCTTAAATAGATTTGATGGCATACAGAGACACACAATGAAGAAAACCTCATGACAGTGGAGGCAGAGGTTGATGTGATGGCAGCTGCAAGTTATGGAATGGCAGGAATTGCTAGCAACCTCCAGGAAGTAGGAAGAGGCAGGGAAGGCTTCTTCCCTAGAGCCTCTGGAGGGAGTATGGTCCTGACAATACTTGGATTCTCCAGAACTGTGAGAGAATAAATTTCTCTTGTCTTGAGCTACTCAGTTTGTGGTACTTTATTACAGCAGCCCTAGGAAACTAAAGCAGGTGATATCACAGTGTATGTACCTACTAAAACTATGATTTTTATAACCAGAATCTTACATTATATGCTATTTTTCTATTTGGCTTCATTTACTCAGCATAGTGATTTTGAGATTTCATATAGTTCCATGCATCAATAATTCATTCTTTTTTATGGCTAAGTAGTAGTCCATTGTATGGATATATTGTGTTGTGTTTATTCATTTGCCTGCTATGTACATTCTGGTACATGTCTTTGTGTGGATAATATTTTTATTTCTCTTAGCTATAAGCCTAAAGAATGTCTAAATTCTTTGGTAGGTGAATATTGACCTTTTAAGAAGTCGCCATGTTGCTCTCCAAAGTAGCTATACCATTTTACATTTCCATCAGCAATGTATGGGAGTTCCAGATGGTCCATATTCTTGTCAGCACTTGGTATTGTCAATCTAATTTTAGCCACTCTTGTGGGTGTGACATGATGTGTCACTGTGTTTTTTAAATTTGTGCTTTCCTGATGATTAATTATGTTTGGCATCTTTTCATTTTTTTGGTAGCCATTAGTATTTCTCCTTTTTGTGAAGTGTTCAAGCTATTATAAATGTATTCAAAATTTTGAAATTTCCAATTGATCACTGCAAGTTTACAAAATGCAATTTACTTTGTGTATAAACATTGTAACTTGAAACTGCTAAATTCTCTTATTAGCTTTTGTAGTTTTTTAGGTCCATAAACATATCATGCAAATAGGGGCAGTTTTACTACTTTTCTGATGTTTAGGTCTTTTCAGTTACTTGCTTTATTCTACTCACTAGGACCTACAGTGCAATGTTTAATAGAAGTGGGGGAAATAGACATCCTTGCCTTGTTCCATATCCCAGAGAGAACTTTCAGGCTTTCACTATTAAATATGAGAGAATTTGGCTGTGGATTTTTCTTTGGTGCTTTTTATCAGACTGAAGAAATAACCTTCCATTCCTAGTTTGTTTAGAGGTTTTATCATGAATGACTGTTGAATTTTGTTAAGTGAACTTTCCATATTTCTTAAAAAGAAATATGGAAATTTTCTTCTTAATTCTTTAATACACTGAATTACACTGATTGATTTTTTAAAATGTTCAGTCAACCTTAAATCTTTGGAATAAAACTTAATTGGTCATAATGTATTATCTTTCTATATTCTTAAATTTTACTTGCCAATATGTTTTAAGAATTTTTGAAACTATTTTTTAACTATATTCATGAGGGATGTTAATCTATAATTTTCTATTTTAGTAATGTCCTTGTAAGGTTTTGGTGTTCAAGCTGTGTTGGCCTCATGCAAAAAATTTGGGCAATGTTCCCCTCCTTATTTATTTTCTGAAAAGGTTTGTGCAAGATTGTTATTTTTTCTTTCTTGGATGTTTGACAGAATTAACCAGTGAAACAATCTGGGCATGGAGTTTATATTGTTGAAAGGCTTTTGATAACAAATTCATTTTTTTAACTAGATAAAAGGCTACTCAAATTTTCTGCTTCTTCTATAAATTTTTGTAAGTTGTAATTTTTAAGAAATTTGTCCATTTCATTTACATTTGTCAAATTTGTTGACATTAAGTTTTTCACATATTATTGTATTATCTATTTGATGTCTAGGATCTGTAGTAATAACCCCTCATTTATTTCTGAGATTGGTGAATTGTGTTCAGTGTCTCTGACCCTCTCTCTGTTTGCTGCCAGTCTCTCTCTCTCTGACTCTCTTTCTCTCTCTCCCCCAGTGTAGATAGGGATTTATCAATATTATTGATCTTTTTCAATTAACCAGCTTTTGAGTATATTAATTTTCTCTATTATCTGTCAGTTTTCTCCTCCATTGATTTATGCTCTTAATTATTTTCTTCCTTCTTCTTGCTTTGGATTTACTTTACCCTTCTTTTTTCTAGTTCCTTAAGGTAGAGCCTTAAGTTGTTGATTTATATAAGCATTTCAGCTGTAAGTTTTCCATTATGTTTGAGCTGCATCCCATAAATTTGTATGTTAACTTTTAATTACCACTTAGTTCAAAATATTTTCTAATCTCCCTGTGATTCTTTATTCAACCTTGGATTATT